ATCTTTTATAACATATCATTTATTTAATTTGATATCATTAAAATAAAAATTGTAAGCATGTTTTGAAATAAATATGAAATATCTCGCACTTCTAATAAAAATTTTACCATTCATTTCTTGTTAATTTAATTTTAATATTTTGTATAGAATAATAAGATAAATTAATTATGTAAAGAAAATATATATTCAAAAATATATACGTAATTACATATTGCAAACTGCATAATTTTTTTTTAAAGCAATAATTTTGCAATACAGTATTTTCTTTATAAAGTGATTTATCACTCTGTTCTATGGATGAAAGCATTATGGATTACCAAAAAATGAACAATTCACGAAATATTTAATACTTTATGCCAAAATGTATGCCTAAATAAAAAATATAAAATGTCTTGTATATTATTGACTTTTTATAACTTTATCTTAATACCTTTATATGCAGAATAATTAGAGTAATCTTATTATGTAAAATAAGTATTATATATTCTATAATTTCATTTCAAAAACAAACTTAGGCTTCATTTAAAATAACGATTTTTCAAAATTAATTTGTTTTTGACCCTCTTCAAATTATACAACTTTTATCTAAAACAATTCTGCTTACCGACTTTAGATTTCGACATATTCTGATAATTTATTATATGTTCTCTATCCGGTACATATAAACATAATTGAGGAAAGACTTTTTTAAAAGACATTTACATAAAGTGAATTTAAATATTCTATACATTCAAACAAATTTCATATTTTATAGATAAAGCCAAATTAATTAAGATACGTAAATATTCCTCTACTCTAAACACAATAAGTGAGAAAAAATTAATTAATCGTCATTATTTGTTTATTAAATAAGGCATAATAATAAGAAAATTATAACTATTAGTTACATTTTATTTAATTCTATTACAGTCTAGGAAATATCACAATATCACATTTATTTCAATACTACAATTATAGATAAACAAAACAAGCACTTTAATTGTAATAAAAAAGTAATATTATATACAAATTACTGCTTATTATGCAAAAAAAAATATAATTAAAATCACACAAAATGTTCGAAATTGATTACAAGTTCGTGAGGACACTAGGATAAAAACAAGTTGTAAACAAGTATTTAACAATCCCTCGTTGTTATGCCAGTTTTTATTTCCTTCGAGTGTTGCACGCACAAAGCACTGACAAAACTTCTACAATACAAAGAATTTAAAATTTTGTAAGTTCATACTCTTGTGCAATAATTATTTATTAAAAATTGTTATTATGCACACATGCATGGATTATCAATTAAGTAAAAATTAATGTCGATTTATTATATAAAGAGAAAGTAAATGCCAATGGATAATGAAGAAACAAGAAGCAATAAAATAAAGCTAATCTCTGTGATGATGAAATCCTATGATATAAGTATATGTACAGGAGATCTGCTATGAAAAATATCTACATTCGGAAAGTGAGTATATGGAAGAATAAAATAAATCTAATATCGTAAAATACAAAATAAAAATATCTATTTACTGTATCCAATTTTTACAATAAAGTAATATTACAATTGGTCGTTATAAGATGACTATAGTTCAGACTATAGACGCCTCAAAATCGATTACGACTGCGTGAAAACATGATTGCTACATCTACATAATCTGTCGCATGACCAACCACTTATCAACCAGTCATTATTTCAGTTATTATTCATGAATGCATTGTTGTACTAGTAATTATACGCACAACAAAAAGCGACATATAAAATTTTTTAAACCTTTTATCACTAAACATCTCACGTTTTTAAGAATTTTTATTATGCACATGAATTATTACCCCCCTTGTACAGACATCGTTGTAAAAGAAACAGAGTCTTCAGTTCATCTCTTACGTTCAACATGAAAACACCAAAATATTTTGCGTATCATAGTAGATACGATTATGGATTATTATCAAATAAAGGTCAGAAATATATTTCGTCCCCAAAATGGAACACATAATCTATAAAAACTCTTTCAAAACAGATTTCGAATGGGCAGTGAAGTTAAATCGATTTAGTCTAGAATTAATCGGACTTTGGCCGAAGTTCGAACAAACTACATGGGAAAAGCGTGTGTACAATTTACGTGCACTTCTCATTTTCTTATTGATAATATTTGTCCTTATGATTCCTGCTATACATTCTCTGATAAGAGTCCATTTTGACATTTTACTTGTGGCAGATAATTTGATGGGTACTTTACCAATCATTACTAGCATCTTAAGACTTGTAATTTTTTGGTGGAAGAGAAAAGGTAGATAAAGTAGCGATTTAATTGTTACGCGATATAAAATATTTACGTTTTATATATCAGCAGAATTAATCTCTATTTTTTTTATACAATTTTAAAATAAAATTCAAGATTTATTTATTTATTGAATTGTAGAGAAATTAAAAACAAAAAAGTTAAGTCCATGTACCGCAGTTGTTATCGATTTATGTACAATAGTAATTACATTTATATTTTACATTTGTTACAATTGCGGTCTAATCATACTAACTAAAAAAATTTTTTTTAACTGGAAATAAAACTATTGTTTTTAAAAATTGTTGGTCATTGAATTCGAATTTGTAAAATTAAATTTGCTCTCCATCACATTTAGTTTTTTGAATAGTAAAGTAAAATTTATAAAAATTGAAAAAAAAAAGATTTAAAAGAAGCAAAAATCCCACTTTTCAAAATTTGTCACTATTTTTTTTTTATTATCTAAAAAAAAATGAATGTGACAGAGCAAAAGAGTTTGAGATTCCTATGTAGTCACTTCAAAATTTTAATTCAGTGACTCGAAATCTATAAGAAACATCTACTCTGGATTCAATTAACTTTCAAAGAAATTTGTTGTGATCCTAGGTTAATAACGTATTTCCACAATTTTCTAATATCTAATTGAAACTAAATTTAATCAGAATCAAATTTTTATAAATTATAATAAATTTCATTTCTATTTATTATAAATATATCAATATACGTACATAGTTAACATTTATTATATTATATTCTTATTACTTTCTTTATCTATAATTGTATTCTTAAAGTTGTCGCACCAATAATACATTTGATTGCGAATGATTGGACAAGGACAACAACATCTCAAGAAAAAGCAATGATGGTAGCAAAAGCTCAAATTGCACGCATTTTTGTCACATTTGGATATAGCATGATGGGAGCGGCTATTATTGTTATGCTTGTTTTGCCTATATTTGGTTACTCAGTGAGATACCTGTCTAATGTTACTGCAGATCTAGAGAGACCACTCCCACTGCAAACATATTACATCTATGATACAACAAAAAGTCCACAATATGAATTGACATATGCTATTCAAAGTATTGCCGCATTTCTTTGTACCGTGTGTTATTCAGGCATAGACAATTTTCTTAGTCTTTCGGTATTTCATATTTCTGGTCAACTAGACATTCTGAGAAATCGTCTTTTGCATTTACATATTGTTGCTGATTTTAATAACGTTTTAAAGAATTGTATAATGGAACATATAAGGCTGCTTAGGTATAT